AGGACCAGGGGCAAGAGCAGGGGCAACAGAGGGCTCCTAGCGATGCTCTCTCGCACTCACATCCCGGTCTTCGTTGGCAGCTGCCCGGTGCGGAGCGGGTGCTGTGGGGCCTAGATCAAGTGGCGTTTTCCCGGGTCATCCGGGAGCACAGGGAGCGGATGCGGGAGGCCAGGAGGCCGCCGCTCGCGAGGGGGAGGCAGCGAGCAGCGGCGGCGCCGGCGGCAGAGGTGGTGGCGGCGGCGGCGGGAGCCGGGTCGGCAGGCGGTGGCGGGAACGGCGGGATTGGAGGAGGTAGAGTGGTGGGGGTGGGGGGAGCAGCGGTGGCGTGGACGGCGGCGAGTGGGCGGCAGCAGGCGGATCTGGCGGCGGCAGGTCAGCCGGTGGTGACGAAGGGAGCTGGGCGGGGAGAGGAGGAGGGGGAGGAGGAGGAGAACGCGTATGGCGTGGCCGAAGGGATGTACAACATGAGTGGAACTACGTATGGGTTGAGGGAAGGGAAGGGGGAGGGAGAGGGGGAGGATCTGATCGGAGGAATCGGGCGAGATGAGTACGAGGAGGAGGAGGAAGGGTACGAAGAGGTCGACGAGTACGAGCAGCGTGGTCGGGCAGACGAGTACGAAGAGGAGGAAGAGTACGAGGAGGATGAATACTGCGAGTACGAGGAGGAAGAGTACGAGGAGGAAGAGTACGAGGAGGAAGAGTACGAGGAGGAAGAGTACGAGGAGGAAGAGTACGAGGAGGAAGAGTACGAGGAGGAAGAGTACGAGGAGGAAGAGTACGAGGAGGAAGAGTACGAGGAGGAAGAGTACGAGGAGGAAGAGTACGAGGAGGAAGAGTACGAGGATGTGTACAATGACAACATCAGCTGTGGCGGCGAGGCGGAGGATGAGAGTGACGTCGCCGGCACTGCAGCGGCGGCGGGTGCGGGTGCGGCAGCAGCGGATGGATTTGACGATGGGGGCAGCATGTCCAGGCCTGCTGCTGCTGCCGCTGCTGCTGCTTACGGCGCCGCCTACACCCCCGCCGCCGGCCCCGCTGACGTGGCCTCCCCCACCGGCCCCAGCAGCACCGCCCTGCTGGATGTCATTCTGGTGGAGGACGAGGTGGAGCGGCTGTGCATGATGGAGGTGTGTGTGTCCCCCTCCATCCCCCACCCAGAACTCCACAACCCTTCCTTCACACATACATACCCCGCCAGCTAGCCCGCATGCGGCCCTAGCCGCCCACCACATCACCACACCATCACCATCACCATCACCATCACCATCACCACCACCACAGTGACGGCCAATTTACTGTTCGCTCTGACATCCTCCTCCTCCCCGTGGCCATGATCAAGGAATATCAGAGCTCTCTCTCTCTCTCCCTCTCTCACACACACACACACACACACACACACAAGCACACACACACACACACACACACACAAGCACACACACACACATACACACACACAGCAAGTTCATTACTGCTGTGTTCTCTGCTTCAATGGGGTTGCGCACCTGGCGCTTCTTAACGTTACGTCTCGCGACGCAGATGACTTGACATCATGACACCAGCGCCAGGATACATGCCCAGGTTTGAGTGGTCGGCGGGTTATCCTTCCATTCAACCCCTGACCCCAGACAACTCCCCCCCCACACACCCTCCCCTCCCCACCCCTCCCCACCCGCCCTCACCCCTTCAGGCCGGTGTTCACAATGTGTTATCCCTACCCCCCCGTGCCGTGCTGGACTACCACATGCACTCCGAAGAGCTCAAGAACCGCGCTAGGGCCAAGTCCGGGACCAGGGGCCGGGGCCGGGGCGGGGCTGGAGGCGGCAGCGGGGGTGATAATGGTGGCGGTGGTGCTGGTGTGTCTCTTCCGGCCGCTGCGTCATCGGGGTCGGGCGCTGTCACGAGCTACATGTTAAACAGCAGGACGGTGAGTGCCGCTACCAAACCCCCCACCCCCCTCAC